ATAATTTGGGTTGGAAAAACCCCTCAGAGTCCACCCAGCCCAGCTGTTCCCCCAGCACTGCCCAGGCCACCGCTGGCCCTGTCCCCAAGTGCCACATCCACGGGGATTTTAAATCCCTGCAGGGATGGGACTCCCCCTCCCTGCCCTGGGCAGCTGTGCCAGGGCTGCACAGCCCCTTCCAGGAAGGAATTGTCCCAATATCCAACCTGAACCTGCCCTGGCACAGCTGGAGGCCGTTCCCTCTTGTCCTGTCCCTGTCCCACCGAGAGCAGCCTCCGTGTCACCTCAGGCCCTGCTCTGACACAGCACAGCGAGGCCGAGGGGGGCAAAAGCAGGAGCAGCCAAGGCTGTTTTCCCCCAAGCACTGCTTCCCTAGGGATTTTGCGGGTCTATCCCAAGCAGGCTGGGAGGAGAAGAGTTCAGGGGGCTCCCTAGAGCTGATCAGAACAGCTCCGAGTCCCTGCTGCAGGTCCTCGATGGGCCGGCAGGTGACACCAGCCCTGCTGAGGGAGCTGAAAGTGCTCCCAGAGCCTCGGGAGCTCCCGCTCCCAGCGCTGCTCCCGGCTCTGGAAAAGCCCCCGGCTCGGCTGCCCGATGTCCAGGAGAAGAGGAGGCTGCCGAGTCCCATCCAGGGGCTCCAGGAGAGCTGCAGAGGGACTGGGGACAAGGAATGGAGGGACAGGACACAGGGAATGGCTTCCCACTGCCAGAGGGCAGGGACAGATGGGAGATTGGGAAGGAATTGCTGGCTGTGAGGGTGGGCAGGCCCTGGCACAGGTTGCCCAGAGAAGCTGTGGCTGCCCCTGGATCCCTGGGAGTGTCCCAGGCCAGGTTGGAGCACCCTGAACTGACATTATCCCTGGAAGAAGAGACAACACGGATCAGCTGAGGAGCCAGGACAGTCCCCTCCATCCCCAGGAGGGGATCCCTTGGGGAGGGCAGAGCCCAGGCAGTGACCCCACCGTGGAACACCCCCCCCAGGAACACATTTATTCTTCAGACCTAAAACCAGAGTGATGGATAAACGGGTTGATTCTCGGCTGTTTCACGCCCCACCCTGCCCAGTGCTTTGGTCTCTGTTTCCCTTCCCCTCTCCGAGTCCAGGAGCAGAAATCACTGCATTTCCACCAGCCCAGGGAGAACTGCCCCTCCCCAGCAGCACGAACTGAGGTGGGCTCTGCTCCCTCCCTGCTCTGGTGGCACCAGGGACAACCAGCCCAGCCCCAGCGCTGACTGAGGGAGACGTTTTTTAGTTTCAAGGTGCGATCAATTAAGGCACCAAAGAGCCAGGACTCCCCACGGACAAAGCCTGTGCAGGGGAAGCAGCTCCAGTTTGGGAGGGAGATGTTTCTCCTACACCCTGAGGTTTGAGCTCAGCCAACTCCTCCCAGCACCAGCAGCACCCCAGCCCCAGCACTGCTCGTGGGAAGCACGGGATGAGGCAGGGGCCGGGTTTGGGAGCCCAGAGCTCAGCTGGGAGCCTGAGGAACAGCCCAGTCCTTCCCCGGCCCTGCAAACACAAAACCGGACAGGAAACCATCCAACCCCCAGGCTCTGTGAGTGCTGCCAGCCCAGCCCAGCCCAGCCCAGCCCAGCCATCCAGCCGTGTCCCCAGGGAAGTGTGTCCCAGTTTCAGGTCCCCTCCAATTCCCGTGCGAGCGGGACTTAAACTTATCTCCGTAATTACATCTCATTGAACGGCATCAAACAGTCAAACACTCAAGTGCAGCCCGGTTCATTTGCCTACTGAGGTGTTTTTTGTTTGTTTTTTTTTTCTCTGTACAACATCAGCAAAACGGATGGGAGGAAGCTTCTTTATTAAATAAAACTCTGACAACCACCCGCCCCCTTTCCCGGCCACGCCGCAGCCACACAGACAGACACGTGAGCACAGGGACATCCAGAGCCTCCCACGGGCATCCAGAGCCTCCCACGGGCATCCAGAGTCTCCCATGGATATCCAGAGCAGCACAGGGATATCCAGAGCCTCCCACGGGCATCCAGAGCTTCCCACGGGCATCCAGAGCCTCCCACGGGCATCCAGAGCTTCCCACGGACACCCAGAGCAGCACACGGATATCCAGAGCAGCACACGGACACTCAGAGCCTCCCACCACGGGTGGCAGCCTGGGGGGAGGTACCTGCTCACTCCTCACCTCGGGGGGAGTTACCTGCCCGTTCCTCAGCCCAGAGGGAGGTACCTGCTCGTTCCCCAGCCCTGGGGAAAGTACCTGTTCACTCCTCACCCCAGGAGGAGGTCCCTGCCCATTCCTCACCCCAGGAGGAGGTCCCTGCCCATTCCTCACCCCAGGAGGAGGTACCTGCTCATTATCAGCCCAGGAGGAGGTACCTGCCCATTTCTCACCCCAGGGGAAGGTCCCTGTTCATTCTCACCCCCGGGGAAGGTCCCTGTTCGCTCCTCACCCCGGGGGGAGGCCCCAGTTGCTCCCCACAGGCCGTACCGTGACCAAGGGCTGACCAAACCCCCCCGAGCTGAGCCCCCCCGACCTCACGGGCTCAGCCTCAGGGTCTCAGGCGTGGTCGCCCGCGTGGACAGTGATTCCAAGTTACAAAAGAGAACCCATTAACAGCGTTAGTCGCTGCTGGAACTTAACACCTCCGGAGGTTTCCTAACGCGGCAGGAGGCTCCTCCCGCGGGAGGAAAACGCTCCGACCGAGCTGATTACGCCCCCCGCACGTTGCGCAATAATCAAGAGTCTGGAGGACTTTGTTCCCGTGGCAGTTTTACACCTGCACAATCTGCCGTGCTCGTTCGCTTCCGGATGCAGCCCGTCCAGAGCCTGGCTTTAAGCTACACTCTTCATTCAAGCACAGGTCTTCAAGTAAATCGAGCCAACAGGAGGGGAAAAATCGGCATTCAGTCTTCACCACCCCACTCGAACTCAGTTATTATAAAAAACAAATTAGAAAATCGGGTCGATGCACACACACACGTCGTGGACAAGCGGACAGTAAACAAAGAGACCCCTGGATGGGACACGCTGGGGACAGACAGTGGGGTTTGGGAGGGGTCCCACCACACCCCCCTCCATCCCGGGAAGGCTCTGAAGGTGCACACACAACCAACACGAGGCTCCAGGGACTTCTCCAGGCGCTGGAAGGGCTGGAGGGAAGGGCCAGGCTGTGCCTGGCTGGGGGGAGAGGCGGCTCAGGCAGCCCAGGACCCGCAGAGCGACCACAACTGCAAAGTCCTGCTGGCTGGAGGATGTGGGAGCTCAGCTCTGGGGCCTCAGACACTTCCTGTGGAGCCCAGACCCCACTCCTGGACTGGGAACACCCACGGACAGGCAGGAACGTGGCTGGGGTGTGGTCCCAGGCACCCCCAGCTCGAGCAGGGCAGGCAGAAGCCACAGCCCCACTCTCACAGGGAACTGAGCCCCAGCTTTTTAACCCCCCCCTCCCCCCCAATCAGGATTTAACTGCAAGTTTTGTGTGTGGGTCTGGGGCTTTCCCCCCCAACTCCTAAAAAAGAAAAAGGTGCAATATTTGCCCAAATCAGGAAGGCAGAGCTGTCACCATCTGCTCCAGAGGTACCAGCCCGGACAAGGGGCTGTCCAGCAGGGTCAGGGACAGCCAGGCACTCCCCCATCCCCACCAGCACATTCCCCTGACCTGGGGGAAGAGAGCCACGTGTTGGTTTTGGTGACAGGCCCCGGGGGCTTTGCTCAGGTAAAGCATCTGCACCCCCAAGCAGCTTTACCTGAGCAAGAGCCGGGCTTGTTTTCCCGGGAACATTCAGCTGGTCTGAGATACAGTAGCGGTGACCTGCAGGGCTCCTCCTGCTCCAGCCCTGCCCGGGCAGCGTGTCCTGGCCCTGTGCCCGTCCAGGGGGGGAGCTGGGGGGTCTGTGGGGAGTATTTACAGGGGTTGGCAGCAGGTATTTACAGTCCCTCTGTGGCGTGCAGCCCCGCTCGCTCCTCCTCCAGCCCCAGTCAGTCCGGCGTGGGCTTCTTGAGGGAGAAGGGCCTGATGTTGAAGTGCCTGCTCAGCTGGCTCACCTGGGGACAGGGCACACAGGATGGGACAGGGTCAGCCAGGCGGGCAGGGGCGAGGCCAGAGGGCCAGACCCGCTCCCAGGACAGCCACCTTCCCTGCCACCCCACGGATCTGTGTCCTGCCCAGCCCCGTGTCCTGCCCAGCCCCCCTGTCCCTCGTGGTGGGGCTGGCCAGGCAGTGGCTCCACGGGGAGCAGCCCTGCTGCCTCCCCACACCTCCCCAAAGAACGGCCTGGCCCTCCTGGAATCAGGATCGCTTCTGTTCCTGCCCTCCCGAGGGGCGGGAGTCGGGAATTCTGCCCCGAGCCCAGGCCTGCAGGATTTCCCCCTCACACCTTTTACCCTCTCTGCTCCTCCCAGCATTGCTTCCATTATTTTGCTGAAAGGAATTTGGTATCTCAAGATTTCTGTATTAAAAAAAAAATAAAAATCCCTGAATCCATTCAAACTGGGGGAAGGATACTTCCTGCAGGAGGAGGCTGAGCTGGGTTTGTTGCTCATCATTCCTCCCAAATTCAGAGCAGTTTGGGGTCATGCCCCAGTCACAAAGCCTTTAAAGGCTCCTCAGCTCCAAGTGAGTTTTATCCTGGAAGAAGAGACAGATGGGCCCCTGGAAAGCTGGAGAGAGGGAAGGAGGGGAACGGTCCCTGGGGAAGCTCCTGGGAGGGGATGGGCAAACCTGGGCAGGAGGATTTCCCCACCCGCTCAATCCCATCTCCAGCTGTGATTCCAGGGCCAAATTTCTTTAAGCTTCTTAGTTAACTCAAATCCTTCTTGCACAGAAGCCTCTTTACCCTAATTGGAAAGACAAGACAACCTGGCTATTACTCCTGGCTGTAATTACAGCTGGAGCTCCGCTCGGGCTCCACGTTAGGGCTGCGCTTCCCAGGGGAAGGGGCTTCCCAAGGGGGGTGTCCCCAGCTGGGCAGGGACAGGGGTTCCTTGTCCTCCTCCCTCAGCAGCTTCCTGGGGCACTCCTGATGGGATCTGGCTCTTCCCTCCATCCAAACTCAGGGAGCCAGGCACAGCAAGAGGAGCAAATCAGTCCCTGGATCTCAGCCCTGGCAGCAGGGGAGGTGGCCTTGCAGCCCCAGCGTTCCCACCTTCCCCACCAGGGACATCCCCCCTCCATCCTGGCTCTCCCAGCACCTCGGAGACCTCGCTGGGAGACCTCAGAGCCCCTTCCAGAGCCCAAAGGGGCTCCAGGAGAGCTGGAGAGGGACTGGGGACAAGGACTGGACGCAGGGAACGGCCTCCCACTGCCAGAGGGCAGGGAGAGATGGGAGATTGGGAAGGGATTCTGTCCAAAGGCCAGGCTGGACGGGGCTTGGAGCAACCTGTGCTGGTGGGAGTCGTCCCTGCCCACTGCAGGGGGTGAGCTCTGAGCCCCCTCCTGCCCGAACCACCCTGGCATTCCACGATTATCTGTTTTTCCAGCTCCCCACCGGCCGTTCCCTCCCGGTTTCCCATGGAGTGTTCCCAGTTTCCCGGGGGGCACCTACCACGACGACGCCGTAGTGGACGTGTGCCAGGGTGAGGAAGGCCGTCAGCAGGTAGAGCAGCAGCGCCTCGGCCTGGGCCACCAGCCCCGACAGGACGAGCAGCAGCGCGGCGGAGATGGGCACCAGCATCCAGTGCAGGGGCCGGCACCGCGTGCTGCTCATCTGGCACACGATCAGCTGGCACTGGGGGGGACAGGGAGTGGGCTCTGAGCACAGGGAGGGCTCCTCGGGACCCCCAGCTCCGTCTCCAGGGCACGGGGGATGTGGCAGCGGGGCCGGGGCAGTGCCCTCCCTGTGCTGGCACCGCTGGGGCACCTCCAGCGCTGGGGCAGGGCTGGCCCCTCACACCAGAGACACAGGGAGGGGCTGGAGCGTGGGCAGGGAAGGGAACGGAGCTGGGAAGGGGCTGGAGCAGCAGGAGCGGCTGAGGGAGCTGGGGGGGCTCAGCCTGGAGAAAAGGAGGCTCAGGGGGGACCTTCTGGCTCTGCAATCCC